GGTGGGGCCAACTTGGAGCTGGGAGGGTCAGCGAGCAATCACTTGGGGATCGACTCCTTGTGCGCGGTAGTTGAGGGTGTTAGAAACCTGAGCCATTGCGTGGCTACCGCGATTTAACTGGAGGCAGTTTCTGAGGGGTCGGGGGCTGTTTCTTCAAGGAATAGTCAGGCGCAAGCCTGGAACCTCGGTAAAAAAAAAAAAAGAAAAAAAAGACAACTTTATTTGAGGGTGAAAAGTGAAAACTAAAAAGTGAGTGTGAAGTATATATATGCACCTGTAATGTCAAGTCCCATGTAAACAAAAAGTTCATAGTAGGTAAAATTTTGGACCACATTATCCCAAGTGATAATTGTTCTATCTGTTGACCATAAATGGATAAAAAGGGAAACATGATTGTGTGAATTTCAGAGTGGGATAAAAAAAAATATGCAGAATAGAAACTTAAAGACAAATGAATTTGGAATGTTGGACAAAATAAAATAAATAAAAATAGTGGGAGATTCTACGGTCCCGTTACGGAACCATTCCGTCGGGATTTGTAACCATTAGATCAACTATCCACGACGGTTACATGATAATACAGGAGTGTTGCATTTCCTAAAAATAGTGGACAACCTTTTTGCTGCATAAATTCTTGTCCTAAACATTAAAACACCTTTTCTTTTTTTTTTTGTTCATTGAATAAGGTATAACTGTTTTAACCAATTCTTTGGCTAAGAAGAATTGAATTTGTTTGCATTAATTCATGCAATAGGCATGTGTGAATGATGCTATAACATGAAACTGTCTTCTAACATGTTCAAACACATGAATCCCAAAATGAGGGGTGAAAGCCCCACATAATAATTCAACAACCCAACAAATGCATATATATCATAAAATTTGTTGTGTGGCAGACTAACGGTTAAATTGGTCGATTTGTCATTTTTTTTTTTAAAATAAAAATGTATACTTATAATGTGAAGTATAGTATATAAGTTTCTTAAAACGAGTCGCTCGTGAGCTCAACTTGACTTGTCTGATAAATGAGTCGAGCTTGATCTCATTTAAAACTCGTTCAATTAATAAGCAGAGCTCGGCTCGGCTCGATGAGTGTCGTTCTGCTAGATTTTGGCTCGGGTTTGAGGTCGGCTCGGTTCTTTTACACCCCTAGTCATAGTCCATTAGAAAGTTGAATTGTGAACCAAAAAAAATGTTACACATACAAAAAGAAACTCAAGAGGAAAAACCTTATAATACTGAAATGTCCCATAAAAAAGGTACAAGGAATTATTTATTACAACCCAAAACAAAATATTATTCATCATTTGATTTGTCTTGTAGTAAAGAAAAAAGGGGAAGCAACAATAACTAAAAAGAATTACCAGTTTGTCAGGCCCAGATCTTCTCAAATGGAATTGGGCCGAGTTAAGTGTTTACAACTGTTGGATTACTTGACATAATGAATGAAACCCAACACAAGGCCCAACACAAGGAAACTAAGTCTAAGAGTAATGTGTAAAGTAGTTCAAATAGAGACAGGCCCAAATAACAAATTAAAGCCCATAGATAATACGTACACACCGAATAATTTGTCGATAGGTAGGATGTTACTCGAGTCGAGTAGACCTCATTCGAGCTCGTGCTGATTTAATTATAAAGTGATTCAGCTCGAGCTCCGCTTGTTTATGCTCGTGAAAGCTCGGCTTATTTAATAAACTCAGTATCTTAAATGAACTGTTGGTAAACAAGTTTGGTTCGACTATTTTATTTAAAATATACTAAAAAATAAAAGTGAGTTATTCGTAAACGAGATCGGGTCAACTCGTTTGACAAACAATCTCGGTTAGCTGCTTGAATTGATGAATATATCCGAAAACTCTAAAATAAAAAGGAAAAAAAATGAAAGGAAAAACACGAATACCGTAAGTATTTCTAAATCCATAATATTTATTAAATCATCTATAATTAATGTGCACACTAATATGACGCAATAACAATCGTTCCCAAGAAAATAATTACATCTAAGTTCCCAAGAAAATAATTACATCTAAGTCCTCAGCAAATACATTTTTCCATCAATTTCACAAACTCCCAAAAATCAATCAGTCCATCTCCATTGCAATCGAATTTTTCAATCATCCTACCGCACTCTTCCAAATTGCACTTCAGCCCCAAGTTACGAAAAACTATTTGCAACTCGGTCCCATTTATAAACCCATCTCCATTTGCATCAAACACCCCAAAAGTTTCCTTAATTTCCTCCAAACTCGGCTCCACCTCGTCAAACAATGCCAACAGACCTTTTTCACAAAAGCCCCCGAATTCCCCATTATCCTCCAATCCACCCCCGATTCCCAGTCTGTCAACTATCAAACTGGCATCGGTTATGTCAAGATTCACCTTTTCACCCCTCGAAATTTCCTTATTGTCCGTTGGCGCCTGGGATGGCCCTGAAGTTTTTGAAATTTGCAATTTGCCCCAGAAGCTATTATTCCATTTGCTGGAAAATGCTTGGATGAGAGAATGTAATTTTGGGACGAAATTCTCAATTTCCCACTTTAGAGACTTAAACTGAAGAATAAGAAAAAATGAAATAATGTTTGCTAGTGAATCCTCCATTTGATAAATAGTAATATTGCTTTTTTTTTCACTTTTTTTTTTTATGTGAATTATGTGTTTGTGTGTAACTAAATTGAATTTGTTCATCATCAAGACATTGTTGCAATTTATATAAGTGAGAAAATTTTGTGTCTTGTGTTTGAAGTAGTCAAAGTAATTAAGGGTCTTAAGCGTGTGGAAAATGTCATGGGAATTACTTAAGAGACATTAAATTTCGGGGAAATTCATTTG